TCTCTAGCTTTTTCTTTGAATTGCAAAAAAGCAGAGAAATGTGAAAGTTCAAGAATTTTCAGCTGTTGAAGGAAGAGCAGGAAAAAGCTTTTACACTTCATGAGGACATCGAACTCGAGCATGAAGTAGCTGCCTTAGCAGAACCATAACTTAAGAGAGCAAAAATTTATTTGAAAGTTGCAGTGCCTGTAGTGAACATTAGCTCCAAAGGGATAAACTGTGATTCAGCCCAAATCCTGCACTGTTACCGAGTCCACTGAAATCACATGAAGTTCAGTTCAGTTAGAACCGGCATGTTTTGGATCACAACAGTTTGCACCCCGCAGAAAGCCCACCGATGGCAGTGGAGAAGCACCGACTAACAGCAGCGCTGACCGCAACCAGGCAGCGCTACAGAAAAGACAGTCTGAGTCCACACCACCCTTTCCCCACTTTCTTCCTCATTGTTTTTATACTTTCAAAAATATATGGCTAGAAAAGACACTGTGGCAGCCAAAGGATGCGGCGCGCACAGACAAGCTGCAGGCAGGCTGATGGGGTGTCCTCAGCGCATCTGCAGCCTCCCACAAGATTTGCATTTGACATCCATCTCCCTATTGTTAAGACATCTTTATCTCAATTTTCAGGAAACGTCAGATGACTCATCTATCGGAACATCTGATGAAGTTAATGTAATTTCAAAAATGAATCCTACTTAGGCGTATTTTTCCAAGCAAAAAAATGAAGTAAAATGTTTTAAAATTATGCGAAAAATCTCATTTCTGTTGCAAACCGGTTTCCAGATTTAGGAACTCAAGAGCTTATTTTTGCTGTAGACAGTTTAACAGGCTTTTAGGCATCCAAATTTAGGAAAAAAATCCTACAGCATTTGAACAACGCAGAGCCAGAGCTGGAGCTGACTCAGCCACTCGAGCGCACAATTTGAATATACTACATAATCATTCTTGTTTTAAAATTATCCTCCTAACATCTAAAGGCTACATTATCCCACCCGTATTTATCTTGATTAATGCACTACCCTAAGGACAGCCTTGCAGATTTCATTAGGACTAATTATGAAGCAGGGTATTCAACAGAGGGATGATAAAATCTTGCTCTGATTGACATGGCCCTGACCTCTTCCTTGCACTACCTCCTCGAGGTCACAGAAACGTATGCATCTTCTTTTTTCTCCCCTGCACTTCTAATTAACATGTAACAACTGCTGTTTGTTACCAATTCAGAATTAAGAAAGAACCCGTAAGGTGCACACACAGGACATGTTTCCCAACAAATGACACGTGTCTGGAGATCAATGCTGCAGTGCCACAGTTCCACAAGCAGCCCCTGCAAATGCCAACACGGTACCTGCGGCTGGCAACACAACATGGAGGAGAGCTTTGTGGGAGTAGATGCCCCTCTATTTTTGCTCTAGACCTACATATACAGTTTTTGCTTTCATTTCACGTGGGGGGTGCGGGGAGAATTTTACCCAAGCTGAAAGTTCCACTTCTGAAATCTATTTTTACCTCCTATGAGCAGACCAGATGAGTCGTACTTGCTTGTGGCTGTGAGCTCCGTGTGCTCTGTCCCTGCACAACATCCGCGGAGGACACCTGGGACGGAGGCCAAAGTCTGCTGGACAGAGCTGAAGGGTACTGCCATTTCACGGGGTCCCCTCAGAAAGTATTTGCTTTGCCTGTTTATGTTCTAAATATAGCAGAGCACACCGGCCATCTCCAGCTCATGAGCAAGTATCGCTATCGGGGGCTGCAGCTCTCTGCAGCACTAACACACACCTGTCTGATGTCAGCTAATACAGAGCATTTTTTCTAAGACACATTAACACTAATTCTTGGGTGTGCTATGAGGGAAAGATGCATTCATAGTTTGTAAAGAAAAATTCAGTGACTAAATATCTGTCTTATGTCCAAGAGACAATGCAAGAATAGCTGTTTAGTTAATATTACATACATTTATAAGAAATCAAGTATTTTAATATTAAGGTCAATTTTTAGGTGTACTGCTATTTTAGTAAAGAGCAAGGACATTACATCCACACTGAATTATTGAAATATTAAAAATTACTTTTGAATGTCCCAATCAAAAATCTTTTTTTCTCTTTGGTAAGCTATTAACTGACCTTACAGGGTCTAGACAAATCTGGTATAACATTTCCCTAAATTGTTTTTGTGTAAACACCTAAAGTTTGTGATATTGCAGAAAATGTAACAAAGTAACTAGTGCTTGTTTAGCTTAGCACACACAAAAATTGACAAGATGTGAAACAAAACCCAAACTGAGTAACTGCTTTTCTACCATGTGGACTGGACAGGGAACTCAATGAAGAGATATTCTATTTTCCGTTTACCAAAGGTATTTTCATACATTATAGAAGCTTTTTCACTAAAAAAAAAAATTTTAAAAAGGACAAAAAACCCAACCCCTGCCACGCAAGCAGCTCCCCTTGGTCTGGCAGTGGCAGCAACGCGACCCAGCCCTGCTCCCCAGGCTGCAGCAAGGGGATCCACCGGATCCCCTGGGAGCCTCTCCAGCACACAGCACATGGAGGAAGAACCTCAGCCACAAGTAAACCTTTTAGCATGAACACAAGTAAACACATCTGGTAAGCAGTGTACTTTTAAATAGAAGATTCCTTCCCAGCTTACAGCTCTCGGCTGCTGCGTTGACTTCACATGGGCAACAGAAGACTCTTTTCAACAGGGTATTTTGAAGCAATGTAATAATGCTGTAATGTTACCTACAGTTATTATCACGGACCTTGCAGCTCTTTACAAAGGTGGTAATTATCTCCTTCATTAAAAAAGGAAACGGAAGAGCCCTGGTGACGGCAACAGAAGAGCCAGCCATGCCGCCAGGGCTGGGGAAGCCTGGCCCGTCCCCGTTTTGTCTCTCATCCAGACACAAGCCCACACTGCCGCTCCGGCTCCAGTGCCGCTGGCCTCCTCATCCAGCACCGAGATTTTAGGGCACTTCCAATGACCATGGCTGTCAGATATCTGAGTGGAGGACGCGGATGTACAGCGAACTCAGGTGATGCCTCCCATAGCAAGTAGATTCATGTCCAATTAACTCTGGTGTCTTGTTTCAACCTTTTCAGTTGGATCCTCGCTCTGAAAAGCACAAGGCCAGCGGAGTAAGGACGCTGCGACTGCAGTGTGCCGTGCAATCGAATACCAGTCCAGTGGGAAATGAACCCGGGGGATACTGCGGGTGCTATTTTACCAGCAAATACGTCTTCACACTCACACCCTCTCACACAGAGGCAGGTTGAAGCCTCCAAGGCCAGGCCCGTGTTTCCAGCAGGTATGCCGCTGTGGGCGCGGTGCCGCAGCAGGCCGCGCAGCCTCCGCTGCCGCCGGCGCACCGGCGGGGCGGCTGTGGTGGGGTCCGTGGTACAGCGTCCTCCCGGCGGCAGCTGGCCCGCACCACGCACACCGTGCCATGCCTCGCCACAGCTGGCCCCACCCACGCCCACCGTGCCATGCCTCGCCACAAAGAGGAAGCACCAGGCGGGCTCGCTGCCACCCAGGCGCGGCGGCCATGGCGGGCCGAGGCGCCGGGGCGCCCCCCCGCCCGAGGGCGAGGCCCCGGCGCTGCGCTGCCGAAGGCGACGCCTCGGGGCTGGGACTCCCCATCGGCGCTGGCGGCCCCTGGCGCTGCTCCTAACTCCAATACTTTTTTAACGCATAGAAACATTTTATTTCCACGTTTTAAAATGAATTTTTCTTCCCCCCCCACGTGCATTACAATTACTGTAATTTTAAAATAAATTTGAACAACGCAAACAGAAGCATTTCAATGTCTGTAAGTTAAAACATGGCTGGGGGCGGTGGGGCTGGATATTTCAGGCCTGAGAGCATTTTAAAGGTTCACTCCCTACCCTGATCTGCGACAAGACACGTTTTTAAACTCAGGAGCGTTGCAGGATTTATATCAAACCGCTACAAACCCACTTCCTGCCCAGCTCCCGCTGCGACCGGGGCCTGGCTGCACAGGCGACCTGCAGTAGCTGGTTACAGCTACAACTCCCTCCCCAGAGCACGTCTCTGCCATGAGCCAACCCCACGCACCCGGGCTCTGCTCCGCTTCCCGGGATTTGGTCCCAAGAAGAGCGAATTATGCTGTAGAAAAAACCGACAGATATATTTTTGCGTCCCAACTTTTGATTTTTTTTATGACTCTACTGAATTAATTCTGTACTGTTTGTGGGATGAGTATTTTAAATGTTAAAATTATTTAATTCATAGAAAAGGGAAGGTGCCGGGATCCACACGTTTAACATCTATTACTGAAACTACAGCTACAGTAAAACAGCAGCCATACATTTACAGCGCCTAACTCGGATATGCCTCCTAAAAACCACAGTGAGGCTGTCACCTCTCTGCTACAACCCTGCTTGCACGTCTAGAGGCACCTTGCCTTCCTGCTAAGCGTTGTCCTTCCCTTCAGCAAGTGCATTTGTGAAAAAGACAGGATAACCACAGCAGTCCCAAACACAGAAATACAAGCAGGGTGCTCACAGGCACCCAAATAACCTAGGGAGGAAAACACTCTTCTAAGATTCACCATCAGCTGTCCAGAGACACCAACAACCCACTGGTAGTTACGAGATGGAAACAAATCCTCATATTGCTTACGTGGTTTGTGCTATTAAAAACAAAGAATCCTTACAGTGACTTTGCTGTTTCTACGTGAAGTGCCCTTTATTCCAGCTACAAGCACAGAATAATTTGGAGGCAAAGAACCAGTCGCTGTAGCCATACCAGAGGATCGGAGCCCTGCCAGGCGTATTTTCCCTTCATTCCCCCTATCCTTCCCCTTCCCCTGAGGAAAACAGAAAAACAAATCAACATGCATCAATAAAATAAAAGCAGCAAAACATCCCACTGCTGGCAGCCAGCAATTGCTCCCTTTCGGGCTGCAGGGTTTCTCTGGCTACGACTGCTTCTTTCATTAACTGTATGTATATCCTTGAAAATAATATAACATTTACTCACTTTCAATGAATCAAAGCAGGCGATTACGCGTCCATTTTCAACTTGGCAGCTTTTCGATGGGTGTGCAAATTTACATTCCGTGTCTGGTCGTGAGCAAGTCCCTCTTTGGAACTCCCTACACACTTCCAGCGTTAGCCATTTTGTGTCCCGAATCGGCGTGACACTAACAGCCATCTTTAGATTTTACAGGTAGTTAAAATTTCCAATAAAACGGACAAACGAGTAGCTGAACTGATAAACTGGAAATGATGAAAGCGCCACCTCCAGAATACTTTTTTTCCCCCACTCCCTATTTTGAAAGTACGTGTAAAATTGGGTGGCCGCAATCTCAAGGAAAAGATGTGCCACCAGGAGTTCACAGCGTGACACTGTTAATCGACAGAGGTTTCGTACTTAGCGAAATGCTAGGATTACCAGCAAGGTGAACGTTAAAAAGTGTGGCCCGGGACTAGCCTCGTGCGCTCAGTAACCCATCCTGAGTGCCAACCGGAGCCCACAATGCAAGCATGAAAACGTGGCAGACCCTCTGACACGGGATTTCCAAGCTGCTTTCAGTAAAGTTGTCTGAAAGGTAATCTCCACGCAGCTGAATTTGCAACGGGGGTTTTGTGGTGCAATCGGTATCGATTAGTTTGGCATAGACAGATGCAGCAGTTTAGAGCAACGATCGAGATTGGATTTTTTTTTTTTTTTTTCCTCCTCTCCTTGATTTTCGGGCAGAAGATATCTGACCTTCTCAGCAAACTTTTATTTTTACAGTAAAGCAGCCTACGGCAAGGCCCGATAGCGCCTTTCTCTCGGTTTTGGGTGGCAGTGGGGGTGTCTGGCTAGAGGTGGCGGGCGGATGCGCTGTCGTCGCAGTCTAGCTGGCAGCAAGCAAGGCAAAAAGCAGCGGCTGCTCTAGAAGCGGTCCCAAGCAGCAGAGACGTCAGGAAAGGCACTTCTTAGTACCAACCTGTAGAGAGAAGAGACACGTTACAATTCACCGGGCGGCATTTCGGGGTGTCCCGCAGAGCCGCCGCCGCCGCCCCGCGCAGGGCACTCACGCCAGCCGCCGCCGGGCTGCGAGGAGAGGGGCCGCTTCCCCGTGCGGAGCCAGGCATGATCGGGAGCGAGCCAATCGCAGATAGCGTTGCAGCGATATTCCGGGCAGGAAGCCAATGGCGGGGG